TAGTAGACTCCACTAGATATATCAGTATAAGAGTTCTTCTCCAAGTAGGGTGTGAAGATTATTTCTTGAGGGCAGCAATTGGATTAGAGAGCAACAATATCCAGTTTATTTCGGATTGTCGAGATCTGTCCATTTGCGGCGATTCTCGACGTGACTGCCAGTAGCATTCAGATCAATCCATAAGACACGGTCCGAGCCATACTAGTCTACGGGGGCGGTGGCGTTCCGAGTTTGACGACGAACGCTCCATGCTTGATGACAAGGGGACTCTGTGCTCATTTGCAGATGCTGGCAAGCTTGACCTTGGAGCAGAAGTAGGGCCTCGGTAAACGTTTGTCTCCCGCTGTGAGCCGGGGAGAACCCGCCTTTCCGTGGACTGCCGTGAAAATCATCAGGCATTCGCGACCGTGGCCCGCCGGGCAGCGCCTGTGTTGGTTTAGGCAAAGGCTGTCTGGCAGGCGATTGTATTTGATGATGTCGGTGATTCTGGTTCGCTACTGTAACCGCTGGGTTTGGTTGCACAACCGGCTTCTTACCGAATGCTTTGGCACTCAACATGGTGTCGTTGGGGTGAGAGTCTGGGGTTGTCTGAGCGGACGCCCGATCCGGATTCGAGGTCACACTGCCCTGCTGACTCCCCGAAAAGCGAGAGCCTGCAGACGAACCCGCCTTTGGATGAGGCTCTGAGCTTCCTGCAGATGATTGAGAGCTTTGTCTTCGAGCCAGCAACGGCCTTCGCTTCGAAGCTGTGGATGAAGCAACGAATCTCTTTGTTGGCGCAGCAGCTTTCTTTTTACTCGATTTTTCCGACGATGTCGCTGCGTTCGAGGGGGCTCGCATGTCTAGCCCGCTCGTGGCGGTGCTGCTAGAGGAGACCTCTTCACTTGACTTGCACTCGTCCTCGTCGGAGCTAGGTGGTGAAACGAAACGAGCTGTTGGGCGGGGGCCGGACTTTGAATCGCCTCTGGATTTCTTCAAAATAGGGTGAGGTGGCGGGGGGCGTGAAGAGGACGCCGAAAGTTCTTTGACAGATGCCGGTTCGCCGTTTCGGCTGGGCTCCGGAACATGGGGTGGCAGAGAGTCTGCTAGAATGTCTTGCAGGTCAGATGGTGGGTTAGAAGGCACGTTAAGCAGCAAATTTGTCGAC